GTTGCTCTATTATGTTAGATACATGAACCAGTTGGAGAGAAAGGAGCATAATCAATTTTATGATTAGTTCTTTAAAAACCATGTATGTGAAATCGATAGATTTATCTTCCTTCATGAAATCTAAAAAAAAATATATTTGAGTTACTTGACAAGTTTATAAAAGAAATTGGAGAGCAAAATATGGAACATGTAATTATAGATAATGGAAGCAATCATGTCTTAGCTAGTAAGATTTTTCCTTTAAATGTTTTAAAATTTTTAATTTCTCCAATTTAAATTAAAGCAATTATGTTTTATCAAATTAGTGGTATAAGGAGAGATAAAGGAAAACCTAAAAAGATTTTAATAGAAACTATAAATAAAGATTTAAGTATTCTGAATTTAACTAAACATATGATTTTTCACAGATCTTAGTTGCAGCAAAAGATCTATGTAATTGATCCCACATAGCTGCGACTCATAGCGTTGTTGTTGTTTTTTACATAAATTACGGAAGCATAACGGTCGTATTTATGTTGGACTCCATGTGCAATACATTAAATTATCTAATGTTAGAGGATATTGAAAAAATTATAGGCATTAAAAAGACTTTGAGGAAGGTGATTTTGTTGCTGGGTTTATGTATGATCTCACTAGAGCACTAAACATGAAGAGATAATTTATAAGTAATAAAAAATTGGTAAGATATGATGTCATACGATTTGCCACTTCATTTTTGACATTGTAAATTGTGCATAGACAAAAGCACAACCTTAGAAATATGTTTACCTCGGCGAGAAGTGGGTGACAAGTAAATGGATAAAAGATGCAAACAGTATGGAACAAGTGATATCATCTTGGTATCATCCTTTTGGAATCATATGGTTTATTAAAAATTATAGGCTCTCTTGTTAGAGTTTTTCGACTTGTAGATAATGAGAAAAAACTGACAATGGGATATATAGATATATATATATATATATATATATATATGTATATATATATATATATGTATATATATATAGAGCCAAGGAAACACTCTAAAAATCTTCTGGTAGGAGCGAGGAAAAAGTATATGTACATCTAAATAAAAGATGAGAATGTTGTCTTCATCATTCACTACATGTTGTGGGTATTATTTAAATCCAAAATTCTTTTATAAGTCTATTGAGCTTGATGCACAAGTTTTATCATATAAAATTTTAAACTATTATTGTTAATAGTTATGTATAAATCTGCAGCTGAATGGTAGAGTTTATTTAGAAATTCCATACCAAACTTGTATTAATTAGGTATAAAGATTCTGAATTCTGCACCAAACTTCTAGTAATTAGGTATAAAATTTTTGAGTTTGACTTGTAGTGTCATAGGTTATGACTGAAATTTAAGTGTCTTTGAGAAGGTAAGTATATAAGAATAAAGAATATTTTAGATATTGATGCATTTAATTATATTTTTAATTTGTATGACATAACAGATTCATAGAAAGAAAAGAAATTAGTTAGAGCATCAACGAGTACATAATCTTGTTTACATAAAGTATAATCAAGCACTTAGGCGTGTTATTTGCGAGATAGCATTGGTCCCATTACGTTAATGATATTGATAAACGAATGAAAGAAATGAGTGGTGGTAACTTGCAAATACCAATAATGATTTTGTTTTAGATTATGATAGTTTGACATGGGGAGATATAGCAAGAGTTTTAAATGTTGGAGAAATGAGAACATACATAAGACAACTCGCGAGAACAAATTTCAATGCAAAAGCCTTAATTTCACGGCCTGCAAATGTCGAAGAGGAAACTTATTTTAATGAAGATGAATATGAAGTTCAGGGATGCAAATCAGTTGAAGAGGAGGATGAAGTGGATTTTGATCATCATTAATGTTAATATTGTTTTGGTTGTCATATTTGTTATTAAATTTGGACAATGTAATTTGGTATCTTAAATGAATACAATTTGATGGATCATTTTTATTTTAGTGATCGTATTTCTCAATAATTATATCTTTTTAACTTTTAATATTTGTGAGTGTCTCGCTTCGTTGGGGTGAGCAACTAACACCTTGGGTGTTTTGGCACCTTGTGCCTACCGTCTTCCTCTTCCATAACTACATTACTCTTTCGAGCAGATTTCCCATTCAGCAAAATTCTTTGCACCCATTTTTTAGTCTCCAATACCTGCCTTATGGAGATATTGGATGGTGAGTTCTAGGAATTGTAATTCTTTGTTATTTCTTCACTTTGACCAGCTACATCGTGCTAGCTGACGACTACATCCTGATGTTCCTGCATGAGAACATTGATGCTAGATGTCATTTCTCTCTTGTTATTTGGCCTCAAAAGTATTGTTCACAAAATCTTGTACCAAAACATCTCTGAGGGAGGAAGCATGTGCCAGCATGGATGGGAAAATAACTACTGGTATAACACTTATTCAGACAAATTAAGATTCATATAGTTGGATGATCTCTTTCTGGCTGTGATTAACAAATGTGATATTAATTTAAGCAACTTCATATTTTCTTCTCACCTAGTTGGCACTTGGGCTAAGCGAGGTGAGCACCGAGCACCTTAAAGTATGTCAAGCAAGGTGCTTTTGCTTGGGCACCACCTAGGAGAGCACAAAAGCTAGGTGTTGGGTGTCTGAGGAGTTCATCCTAAGTGCAACAAGCCAACCTGTTGTGCAAGCTGATTTGATGAGCCAAGCCCGACTCAAACCTGAGCTTGGCTCCTGCAATTCAATTTAAGATAGATTGACGAGCCAAACCCAACTCGAACCTAAGCCAGACCAGAGCTTAGTCTTCTACAAAGTGAGCCTGATTTAAGATGGATTGATGAGCCAAACTTAACTCGGACATTAGCCAGATCCAAGTGGAACTAATCAAGTACATTGAGTTTTGTTAATATCCCCCATCTCCCGACCTAGAGCCAAGCCAAACTAGGCCTTGATTTGGCTGCATAACAGTGTGCCCCATCTCGCCTCCTGCCGTGTGCGCACCCAAGCAGAACGGTTTCTCTACCCTAATCCCCTTATTTTCTTCTCCAGCTGCCCCTTCACCATCACCAGTGACTTGGCCACCTCCTTTGCATCGCTCTCCTCCGCCATGCTCCCCACTCCACTTGACAGCACTCTCCATCACGCTCTCCCTCTCTGCCTACATCTTCTCCTTTCAGCAACTATAACTTGGATATTTTGTTGTCAGAATTGTTGTGATAACTAATGACTCTTTGATCGTTTTTTTTTCCTTCTTTGGATTTGTATAAGCTGCAGCTGATGAAACATATCTGAAATCTGAATGAACACAGCCAAAGATCTATTTTTTGTATAAAAGTTGTGGTATTGGATTGGTAAATTGAAAATTTTTATATTTCTAATGGTGCCTTTATCCTCAATTAATTTTTTATAATTTTTATATTAGTGAGCACCTCTCGGGGTATTTTTTTGGTATTTCTAATGCTCTACAATTAGGGTAATTCAACTATTAAAACTCCTAAAGCTTACCAAGTTTTCTCCACTTTGTCAAATGGAGGATTTTAGATTCAGAAGGCAGTGTTTAGAGCTTCTGACTCGGTGCCATTGGCATTTTAGATTCAGAAGTTTTCTCTAAATTTGTCTACTATCTGTAGCATTTCATTACCTTGTTCAAGTTGGAGCTTCCACTGATCGATGATCATTAAACATGTTACTGCTGAAAGAGAAAAAAAAAAACTGAACGCCGCCGATGAAAATGCTTGGAGTGAAATCCTTATTTATACAAAAGTTTCTTAATTTTCTTTTCCAGCTTTCAAGTTCTCTTTTCTGTTGAAGACAATCTTCTGCATTATTTTGTTGATTCACCTGACGGGTACCTACAATGGGATGTGCAGCAATTCATACGAGGACACAATGAAGAAGCCAATTTTGGAAGATGCAACTCAATTCGGGCTTCGGAAGTTAAAGGTATTTTGGAGCTCGATGCTTCCCCAAGAAACTATGTAGATAGTGAGGAACAGTGTAATTTGGCATTAGTGGAGGATGGAGCATGAGCTGCAATTAAGACTCGCTTGTCCGTGGTGCATCTGTAACTTTGCATGATGCCATGCAATCTTTGTGTACTTGTGGATCATTAGGGCTGAAACAGCTGGTGTAAGTTGATTTTAATTACTTGTCAAGTAGGTTGATATATCATCGGACATGATTCTCAACCCTCTACCAACTAGAGCTCCTGTGCCTATCATCGGTAAGGTGATGGGCAATTTATTTACTGAGTTGATCGGTTATGACACGAGTGATTTATTTGCCTCTCATCGGTGGTCAAACAGAATGCATCGGATCGGCCAATATGCTTTGGTTTGATTGTGAATGGCGCATCGTTGCATGTGCTGTGAATTGTTTATTTATTAATCGAAATCAATTGTTTATTGAGTTGCATTCGTCGGTTGCTACTGATCTGCTAACTAAAGCGAGCAGTTCATTTCGGAAAGCATGCACAAATTATTCATTTTTTTTCTTAAAAAAAATACTAACTAATTCTTTTTTCTTAAAAAAAATACTAACTAATTCTTTTTTCTTAAAAAAAATTACTAACTAGCAAGCAAAGCATGCGCAAATTATTCATTCTTATTTCTTAAAAGAAAATACTAACTAGCAAAGCATGCACAAATAGATCATTATTTATCCTTATTTGGAAAAGCTTTTTAAATTTGTGAGTGATGCTCTCGTTCGTGCATGCACAAGCACGCGCACACGTGTACATGCGCCCACACGCTCGCACGCGCGCAAAGCAACATCAAATTTCAAAACGTTCAACCGTAAGAATTTTCCCCGTCATATGGTAACAATACATATTATCAAACACACAACAACATCAGATTTCAAAACAACCACCTAAGAACTTTCCTCGTCATATGGTAAAAATACATGCGTACACACATGCACAGACAACACGCACACATCAGTGCATGCACGCACACAGCAACATCAAATTTCAACACATCAACCCTAATTTGCCACTGCAAGAATTTTCCTAGTCATATGGTAAAAACACATTCCTTCCGAGTTCACATGAATACTAAAATTGAATGGTAACACTTGGTATGACTAGATTGTCGAGTAAGCTACATTGATGTACAATTAAATCGTGTGAATATTTTGACATATGGTACTGTCAAGACTGACAATACAACGCAAATCAATAGTGAAATGAATGAAACAAAGGTCTTGACAAAAAAAATTAAAAGATACCATCCCGCATTCCGCTGATACTCCATCAGACGTCAAGCCTGAATAACCCTATAACTGAAGTTGAGAAATGTCATATTTAATTGCTCTTAATTTCAACATTTCTGAACATCAGCGAGCAATGAAAACAAATGGCCGAATTAACTATGACCTCTTGACCACTGCCATGGCAAAATGTGGGTGGTGAGTGAACTCAAATGAGACCCTGAGGGATGGGTCATCAGCACCGACTTGGTTTATGACATTTAAAGCTATCCGGTTGTGCTCTGCGACTTGCTCAAGTTGCTGCAGCTCTAGCATCCTGTTGGGATCACCAGCAAAACTTCCCTTTAGTGATGATGTGATCCTCTGGGCTTCTCGAAAGTAGTTGTGTTTCACAACACCCTGGAATGCATAAATATGCACCCATTACAGCGACCAAGAGAAAATTAATTAAAATAAACATCCTCACAAGCTTTAAACACTCACAGATATGCGTGCATGAACTGTCGACTCTTTGAAAAGGTAGTAGGAAACATGGTCGGGAACATGAGCCTTCTGTAGGAGATCAAAGTGCTGACTGAATCTCTGATTAGAGGATGTGTAACAATGATTAGTTTCCGATTTCACAAAATTATTCTGTAGAATATAGCATAAATGAGTACCTCCTCTTCACCATTGAAAGGACTCCGCATCTGGAAGGCCTTAGATTCATTATGCAGAGCTGCCAGCATCTATGATAGCAGAGAATAATAAACAGTTTTCAGAATCCATTTCATATCTTCTAAATATTTGAGAGAAAAGCTCACCATGGCCAACCCTTCGCAGAGGCAAATGTAGCAGTGGATTAATAAACTAGAGGATGACAAAGAACCATCTCTTGCTGGATCCTTGGCATGATCCTTTTTTTTTTCCCTCTTCTTTGGGCTGATTGGTCAAACACAAACATCACGTTGAAATCCAATATAAAGATACCCGAGTAATCAATTTTGGTTAATTGACAAAATTCACATTAGACTCATTTGTACACAAACATTTGCACGCTTTGAGCAGTTGTTAGGCCCATTTAAATGTGGTATGTTATACAAAATAACATCAATATGTATCTTTAAAAAACTGAAATAATCTAAAAAGCTCAACAAGAACTCTAATATAACCAACTCGGTAATCAAAGTGATCCAAAGGTTTGAAGTGGGTGAGTTGTGGAGTTGTCACTTCCAAAAAGGTAGTATCTATAATCATATTTAACCATCCGATGCAAGTTACCCATTACCTATGGTGTTAAGTAAAAGTGGGAATGTCTTGTTGAAAGAACTTGGAAAAACATACTCCTGAAAGGTTTCTTCCATTAAAAGTAAATACAAGTAAATGGTTTGCAGGAAAGAAAAGAGAAGTAGTTCTAGTCTTCTCTTGATTTTGGGAGTAAAAGAAACTTAAATTTATTGATTTTTGGAAAGATGAGTTAATAAAATAATGCAAAGTATGGTTTGGAAAACCATTTCACTTTCCAGAGAATAAAGGAAAAAAGAAAAGCTAAAATTTCCTAGGAAGTTAGAGACAACTTCCAATTCTAATGGTAGGGAGGAGAAAAGGAAGTTGAACCTTATATTTACATCATTTATTATAGATAGGACACTGAAATGTCCAGAGACTTTCACATGGCTGATAAGAAGAAATATAATGTTATTATTCAAAGTTTTTATAATTATAGTCCGTAATTTTTAATATATATTGGCTTGATATAGGTTATGCCTTGGATCTGTAAATCAATTCGGTATAATCTTACCACTGATGATAACCTCTTACTGACACTTTGGATTGTCATCACTTGACTAGAATCAAGCACCTCAAATGTGAGTGAGATCACTCGTGAGCTAAATGAAATTAATGAATCATTATACCAAGTAATCTAACACAGTAGGTGTGAACAGTTGACTTAAGTTACTTTAGGGACATTTACTTCAAGGGGCTTATGGCATCTTTAGCAAGAACACTGACATTGACTACTGAAATAGCATCAATCTTAGTAACACAATTAACAAGTACAGTTTGTGCTTCATTCGGCTCTAATCAGAACTATAAAGTAACCTAATTTACAGCTGATTAGCAACTATGATATGGAGGATCACCATCTCACTTGAAGAAAAGAGTAAATTGCATCATAGACCACATTATCCAATGATTAAATGTAACAGTCCACATTCTCATTGTTTCTCATTGTTACACACCAAAGTTTGCATATGATTATCATTGAAACACCATGAGAAGTTGGTGTAGATTCACTTTAATATGCATCTACGATTATGCAGCCATGAGCTAGATAAACAAACAGAGCACAAAACAGATACATTTACTCTAAGAGTTTTGCATGATTCAATATGAAGATAAATAAGTACACACAGGAGAGAAACAATGAGAATGTAGATAACATCAATGAGCAATAAGTCTGTTCGGATGAAGAAACATCTCCATCAAACATATGATAATGAGAAGAAAATGTGTTTATACCAATGACAGCGGCTAGCACCAGGGATCTTACATTCTCAGTAAGTAGGCATAGAGGTGACGTGTGAACTGAGGAACAGTATTTCACTACCAATCAACATGATCATGAAACACATGGATTCACCCCATTGGTTTATGGACAGAAAGACCAGGACAAAAGGAAGACAGTGATATCGGGGAGTTGAGATAAGGAATTCCAAGTATTTATTGTTTCTACCAACACAATTCTCATGACTAGTATATCATGGAATGTGTTGGTTCTTTTCCTCAAAATCTGATACATCATATGGCTGAAAATGTTAATACAGTGATAACAGTCAAGAGTCTATAGTTGGAGCAACTGTACTTACCATAGTCATACTTTGACTCAACAACCTACTACAATAGCTTTGTGATGACAATACCACTACTACATCAGATGCATACTGTCAATTAATATCAGACCAGATGCAGTGGCAGCATTCTCTGGCATGGATTCTTGAATGTATAATATTGACTTAGAACTACCTTCCTTTGAATCATCCGTTTGGTGGTCATGGATTATTTACAATGTATGACATTTCATTTTTGGTCATATGTTCATAATACATGAATCATATGTTCATTCATCGGTCTAGTTCTCTGCCAAACTGATCATATTGGTCAGTATCAGCCCATACTGACACATGATATGGGTAGACATTCATATTGTACCAAACCGTTTGAGTACTAGTAGCCATACGTAACTGAGATATAATCCTTGTTGTAAATGTCAAGAAAAAGAATTAGGCTTGGAGTAGTGTAGTCCAATCCACACTTGGTGGAAGAATAAAGAGGCCTACATATATTGTATTGAAGTTCTAAAATATGATGACCTCCAATAAGTTAATCAAATCCCCAATCCAGAAACAAATTGTTTATACAAAGTAGGTTATGTTCTAAGCAAGGTTCTCAATTTTGAGTATCGAACTTGTGTTGGTCTGTATGGGTAAGACCCGTTCGACGTATCTATACAAGGCATGCTGGAACATCAAGTGGTACAAATAAGGGGAAGAGGAGGGAGGGGAGGATGACGTGGAAGAGAAATAGAAGTAGAACAGGAGGACAAAGAGGAGAATTAGAAGAGGAGGAGGTGAAGAAGAGAATGGGAGGATGCAACAAAAGGAAGAGGAAAGTAGGCAGCGAAGATGTAGAGGACAAGGAGGCAGTGAATGATGGAGAAGAAGACATGGCAAGGGTGACAAAGAAGGATGAATATAGATTCAGTAAGGCTTGGGGCGGCATGAGAGTGGGCAGATGTTGCAAGGAGAATGGTGCACGAGAGAGAGGTGCATGCAGTTTCTTTAAGTCATCGTGCTTGTATTCTTAGCAAAAAAATCAAGTAGATGGGAGATAGAAGAAACCATCTTTGGTTCTTATAGATGATGTTGCTCTTAATAATAAAGAAACCCTTAACGCTCGTCTCTGGAAAATTTTCCACTAAAACTAGAGATAGCTTAAGATGTCAATGCCTATTTAAAACCACTATCAAGACACCAAAGTTCACACGAAAAAAGAGTATCCAGAAAGCAAAGATCCTTTGAGCCCATTAAGAGGCATACACCAATTATTATCCAATGTAATTGTAGAACTAAGTCCAACAACTCCACTAGCTTTAGCAGCATATCCAGGAAGTTGGCCCAACTCCTTGGCCATCTGATCACAGTTCCAACTTCCAAGATCGTTGCTGGGATATGATTGTCCAAGGATAACGTGTTCGAAATCATAGAGAATCAAAATCGGTCAATAAAATGTTTTAGAAGTAAACAAAAAGTTTAGAAGTTATAAAATTTAGTAAAACATGAAAACTACAAATTAAAATTAGTGAAAATCAAAATATTATATGCTAAAAGATTTTTTCATCTTCATATTTCATAAAATATTTATCTTCTCAAGAAAAACAATGAAACCGCAATATAAAAATAAAAATATTGTATAAGAATAACATGAAAAGTATAAGTGAATCATTATCGTAAATAATAAAAGTTTATTAGAAAATTAATAATAACACTAAAAATAAAAAATATCATAATAAATAAGTATTAAATATCATACAAAAGATTTTAAAAGTTTCAATTTACAGAACTGAAGATAATTGAAGATCACAATTCAGCCTTGTGTTGCTCTAAACATTATGCAAGTGTAGATTAATGCAGAAGCAGATAAAGAAAGAAAAAGTTCAGGACTAAATCATACGCCTATCGCATCTTCATTGTCCTTGTATTATCCCTATTTAGTGCAGAAGCAGATAAACAAGGAAAAAGTTCAGGACTAAATCATAAGCCTATCGCATCTTCATTGTCCTTGTAGTATCCCTATTTTCTTGAAAGGTTGATGTCTATTCTCTGTTGTTCACTTTTCTCACTCTGTTCTCTCTATTATTTTATGTGACAGTAGATGACAATTATTGCAACTAAGGTATGCAATTTCGAATGGTACCGCCTGGTACAAGCGGTATGTACTGGTCCAACGGCATACCGGTACGCGAACCGCCCGCTACCGGGCGGAACGTTTAAAAGCGCCCCGTATCGGACGATACGGGGTAATATCGGGCGGCAACGATCGAAATTTCGATCGTTACCGCCCGGCACAACTCGGTAACGATCGAAATCGACCGTTACCGCACTGTAATAGTGCTACAATGCTCCAACGGTCAAATTGATCGTTGAAGCCCTTTCTCATAGTATTTAAACCCTTCTTCTCCCATATTTCACTCTATTACATTTTTATACTCTCTTAAACTCTTTCAAACTCTTTTTTTCTCACATTTGTGCTTTCCTACACTCTACAAAACAACGATTTGTGAATTTAATCGAGGATAATTTGGAAAGATTAAGAGGAAGAACTTTCTAATCAAGAGGTATGTATTCCCTTTCTTTAATTAGAGAGTAATTAAGATCTTTAATATTATGATTAGTGTGTTTAATATTGATTAATTCGAAATTAGATACTTAATAGGTCAAATATTTATATTTCATGCATATTAAATATTGAAAAATATTTATGATAGTAAAATAAGTTTAATTAGGTTTTATTAAAGTTACTGAATGCTGCGATTAGTCATTTTAATGATGATTTAATCAAAATTTGTTCGATTTTATGTCAATTCAATGTGTTTAATACCTATTAGAGTATTTGCCAGGTTTATAGTGTTGAAAGAGAAGTAATTAGTGAGAAATTAACTATGTTAATCATGTAATTAGTGTATCTAATGATGATTTTATCATAATTTGAATCATATTGGATCAAAATTACATATCTAATTTTTTTTTATGTGTTTGACATATATATGATGGTAAAATAGGTTTAATTAAGTTTTATTAAAGTTATTTAATGCTGTAATTAGTCATTTTAATGATGATTTAATCGAAATTTGATCGATTTTATGTCAATTCAATGTGTTTGATACCTGTTGTGTTTGTCATGTTTATAATGTTGAAAAGAGAAGTAATTAGTGAAAAATTAACTATGTTAATCAGGTGATATGTGTATCTAATGATGATTTTATCATAATTTGAACAATATTGGATCAAAATTATGTATTTAATGCTTCTTTTATACATGTAACATATTTATGATAATAAAATATGATTAGTTATGTTTTAATAAAATTATTTAATGCTGTGATTATTGATTTTTTATTAATATTTGGTCAATTCAATATGTTTATACTTTATAGTTTATTTGATTTAAATTTGGTAGGATTATGACATCAAAAGAACAACCACATGATGATGCATAGGTTCATGCCCGAAAGATAGATAGGAACCGTCATCATTGACAATGTATTTATTGTGGATACATTGGCAAGGGTGGAGGAATAACACGGGTGAAAATGTATTTGGCTGACGGATATCCTAATGTTGCAAAATGCAAGAAGGTTCCGACGGAGATACGTAAATTATTTCAAAACAAGCTACAACAAGCAAAGGAAGATACATTAAAACAAAGGCAAGAGTTGAGAAAGAATATTATAGAGCTACACAGGAATCGGTTTATGATCAGTATGAGGGTTGCGGCGATCAAGTCAACCCGGATCTCACACCTGAGATTCGTGCATCATTGGAGCATCAGTATACGATCGATGAAGCAATGAGGCATCGACGACCTGACTCACAGTTGGAGCATGGTAGTGGTAGTGGAATCCAAAGGTCGACCAGCATGAGGCAGCCAACTGCTCCTTCTCAGTTAGGCCGAACTAGTAACATGAGGGATGGTGGACTCCGTGGTTTTATAAGAGGTCTTGGCAGGTGGTCTGCACCATATATTGTTGATATTGATCCGCAAGCCTATTCCCCACAAACAACAAAACAAACACGGATTGACGATGCATACACAAAAGAAAAAAAAACGGGATATTAGGAAGGCAATCTCAAAATGGTTCAACTTCCATAGGATCTCAACCAACACAGCCCAAGATCCGTATTATCAGAGCATGGTCTCTTCTATTCAAAAGTCTAGCACGGGGATCTAACCTCCAACACCGAAGGAGATTTACGACGTGTACTTAGATGAAGAGGTGGCAGAACTAAAGGATTTGATCAAATCTTTTAAAAGGCAATGGGACGAATATGGGATGACACTGATGTGTGACAGCTGGACAGGACCAACAAGAATGAGTATCATCAACTTTCTTGTTTATTGCAACAAAAGAGTGGTGTTTCATAAGTCCGTTAATGCTTCTGAAAAGATCCAAGATGCAAACTACATTGAGAGCTTGATTGACACTATAGTAGAGGAGATTGGACCACAATATGTTGTCCAAATAATAACCGACAATGGAGCGAATTTCAGAAAGGCCGATTTGCAATTGATGGAATAAAGAAAAACTTTGTTTTGGACTCCATGTGCAGCTCATTGCAAAAATCTAATGCTGAAGGATATTGGTGAGTTGGATCCGGTCAAGAATTATGTAGCTCGAGCACAATTAATTACAAAGTTTATATTTAATCATCATTGGGTCCATGCTTTAAAGCAAAAGTATGTAAACGGTGAGATACTCCAACCTGGAATTACTCGGTTTGCTGCCAATTTTATTGCATTAAAGTCATTATAGCAAAAAAGGCATGGCTTGAAGGCAATGGTCACCTCACAAGAGTGGTCTGAATCCAGATATTCGAGATTAAGCGATGGAAAGAAGATAGAAAAGTCCATTCTTTCCTCTAGATTTTGGGAGACTACGATAGAAATTATAAAAGGTGTGGAACCACTTTATATTGTCCTTTGTAAGGTCGATATGAACAAGCATCCTCAGATGTCGTATCTTAAATATATACTGATTTCAGCAAGAGAGGAGGTCAGGAAAACATTCAAAGATGATTTTAAGGCCGACCAATACGTACAGATCATTGATCGTTGGACCGAAGTTCATATGGATCAAGATATCCATAATGCAGGTAAATTCATATTCATAATAATTTAATTTATTATTTTTTAGATAATAAAAAATCATACTAACAAAATTATGTCTTGTAGCGTATTATCTAAACCCGACAATTCAATATCGATATGTTCTCGGAACGCAAAATGATTTACTAACAATACTATGAAATGTTATATATCGGCTCTTGCCAAACACTACTGATGTAGTCGATGCTCTTATGGAGGGTCGATTATTTCGAGAAACAGTTGGTTCATTCTCCGATGTTGTAGCTGTATCGTGTCGTTACACTATGGATCCTGGTGAGGAAAAGTTACACATATTGATTATCAATTATATTTAATGTTAATTATTTGTTATGCTAATAAAATCTTATTTATATCTTTTTGCAGTCGAGTGGTGGCTACAATTTGGAAGGGATGCACCACATTTAAGGAAGGTTATTGTTCGTGTACTTTTATAAACAACATCTAGTGGTTGCGAACGTAATTGGTCATCGTTTGCATTGATTCACACAAAGGTCCGTAATAAACTCTCCTACAGACGATTAGAGAAACTAGTATATGTCCATTATAACATGCGACTAAGATTGCGATGTGCTGAGTTGGAGAAAGAGCTAGAGGAACCAGATATTGATCCCATTGACCTCCAATTCTACAACGAAGATTCAAAGCCAATGTTAGATTGGGTTGAAGTAGCAGAGAACCAAAAGGATCCTTTATTTGATGAGGCGGGAGATCCTCAACGTCCTTCACGTTTTATCACTGAGACAATAGAAGAAGAAGAAGCACAACCCCAACAGATGAAAAATCCCCCTCGATCGTGGCAGGAGTCAAACAACATCGAGTCAAACTACTCGAGGAACTACAGACACCTAACGGTCATAGTCGTCCGCCCAGCATGCAAAGGCAAAGGGGAAGGCAGTAGCATCAATTGCATCGTTGGAAAGAATCGAGTTGGGCGATGAGACACCTTCACAATCACATTCAGCAACTCGCTTGGTCCAAAGATATGACAGCAACATAGACAGTAGTGCCTTAACGGATGATGGTGGTGATGCCGGGCAGTCGTTGGTCTCGTCTACACAACTTGAGGGTGGTGCATGGACTAAGGAGCAATATTTTACACATGCCACCCAAGATTCAGATCATGGAACTCGACAAGGTACTGCTCAAGTTTATGTACGGAAAGGGGAAGGGGAAGGGGAAGGTAGTGGATGAATTTGAGTAGATGCGATAGAGCCTACATGATATAGACACAAAAAAAAGCTCATCGTATTCACAGCCATCGTATTATGGAGAATCATATGGGCAACAACAGTATGGTGATAGTTGGTCATCCTTCTCTAAGCAACAGCATGATACAGAGCAGCAGATCAGTAGCGAAAGTAGAAACTTTGACATTCACCAATATATGCCTCAAGAGTTGCCTCGGACAAATATGATTCATGACGATCAGCCTACGATCAGCACCACATTGATGCATCAATGACATACGGTGTATCAATACACTATGTCATGAGATCAATTTCATGATTGGGTCCAACAAACATATCATATTAATATGCAGATGTATAGGATCGAGGACCTCGATCCACCACCCGTGGAGGCCCGTCATTCGTTTTGGTAGTAGAATCAACAATCAAATATATCTACATATGTGATTATTTAATTCATTTGAATTTTAGAGCTCATATTGTAACAAAATAGTCTGACAATTCAAATGATTTTTCGGTAGATATTTCAATATTTACATAAAGACAATCCGTAATGGACTGAAATATGAACCTTGCACAAGATATTCTTCAAAGCCTGAAAAAGATATGTGATACTATTCTTACCTAATTTACATTGATTTTGCTAAACTTATGCAATTACTATATTTATTTCTAACTTAAAAATCCTATCCTAACTTTTTTTTAATTTCAGGTATTTTCGAAAGGTTTTACACCTAAATTAGGTGTACCGCTCGGTATGCCCTAGCATATCGCTCGGTACACGATACCGTACCATACCGAGCCAACCTCGAAACGCTGGTACGATACGATATTGCATACCTTGATTGCAACAATGTTAGTGATAATAGTTGTCTCTCAATAACCTTTCTCTCAATTATTGCTTCATTTGGCTTCTCTTCTCCTTTACCTCCTACTTCTTTTTCTTGTAAGGCTATGAATTCAACCAAAATTGACCAAAACCAACTAACTCTAGTTGAAATCATGTATTGGAAATCGACTGATACCTTAAATTATGCATCTAATACATGAAGTGACAATGATCTAGAAAATGGAATAATTACTGAGAACTCCATAATAACAAAGCAATCAATATTTTGTGAGTAGAATCAAAACTCATGTTGTTTGCAATTTATCATGGATGGGGTTGTAATGATAGGAGTCTAGGAGAACCTAAGAAATCACAATGAAATTACCAACTTGATAAGGATTCTAGAAGGAAAGATTGTTTTGTCAACTTGCCATCCAATAAACTCAGGCCAACAACAAAAAGAGACAAGAGCTGGAGAGATTGCTTAAGCTGATGAAGCTAGAGATTCTGCATAATTATTAGTCTTTGGTGACTAGAATTTAGATACACGAGGTACCAAAATACCTTTCAAAAGTAACCTAAGAATTTTGAGCATACCATGCCTTCTTACTATTGGGGACACTTAGATTTCTTGATCACTGTTTGGCACTTTGATCATATGATCACTGTACAGAACTTTGATTATATGATCAAAGTACACACTTCTTTAAAAAGCTAAACTTTGCTAGGGAGACAAACCTAGCAAAATCTACTAACGTATTTGTTCATGGCACCATCCATATTTACTGATACCATGCAAATCAAAGCAATAACTAATGTACTTGAGAACACCATCAAAGTTATAGAGAAATAAAAGATGGTTTAAAATTTAAATAAGTCCACCTAAGACCTAAAAGATAAAGAAAACACTAAGACAAAAGCATGTAAGCCATGTTCCCATCCATTCCCATCCAAGTACAGCATATCACGTCAAGGAATTTCTGCTGGTTATTTGACATAATATATTGACCTAATCAGAATATAGGATAGATTATTTGATCTTCTTGCCCATGCAATACAACGTATTCCAGATGCAATGAGCTCCAATTTGGATAAAATGGAGGAACATCCAAAAAGATATAATTTATAAAATTAAAAGATCAAACAATTTACATTCGAGGTAAGAAAATAAGTGCCATTTTGATAAAGATTCAGGCCAGCTATCACAAGAATGTCATTCAAAAGTTAGATAAGACTTACATGTTTCACTATTGATGGCTATCCGCATCTGCATCTTCTCCATAAGCCTCATTAGAACAACATACATATACCAATAGACCATGCAGTATTCATTAGGAGAATATAGCTCCAATTCAAAACCCAACGTAAGAAACCGAGAAGCAATCCAGTAAGTATGCTCATCCGTCCATATAAGGAGACGTCTTGAGACTTTCATGCACATATTCTGTACAACAATTTGAAATCTACTGAAATGTGGATAAGACAGTATGATCAAATAAAAGAAAATTCAAGAAATACTATAAACACAATCTACCTCATCAACCATGACATTCAACCTGTCTCCAAACTCTCTTTTGAAGGCCATCTCCAACTGTGGAACAAAATCCATCTAGTCAGTGATTTTTCCCCTATGCATGTGAACTAAACAAAAACATACATAAATACAATATGCATCTTTGTCTAATAAATACTTACTTGAAATGAAAGATATCTACATGAGAAAGAGTATGCTACTAAACTGATCAATAGTATAAGAACCTTGAAGCAACTAATGAGGTAACATGAGGTAAGTTTTTTACATGAAAACCTTTGCTATTAGAACATTAAGGCCTTGGGAATTGGAACCATGCAGTATTGTCATCATCAGCTCACTCTCTCTCTCTCTCATTCCTCACTTCCCTCATGACTCCCAGTCTCCGGTTTATCCACCAACCCGATACTCCTCTGCTTCCTGGGCTTCTCCTTTTCCTCCTCCACGCTTCTTGGTACTACAGCATGTACTGGCATACGAGTACAAACTAGACTTCAGACCTTGGTTGCATGGTATGCAACACAATCTAATACAGTACGGTATGGTACGAGAAGTATTCACCATTCCAACAGAGAACTGGTATACGAAGCATGGGATACTGGCTGGTACAGGGACAGTATACATGGCATCGGCTGGTGCCAGGCTAACCATACTCAGAGGTGACGCTACCCAACTAGACATGGGTAACCGTTGGCAGGCTTTCAGGAAGCTATAAAATGGCCCCAAAACCCCCCAAACCTGCCTTCAGTCTCACTCTCTCACTCCCTCTCTTTCACATTCCCAATTTCTCTGTAATCTCTCTCAAAATTTACTTAATTCTCTCTTAACCCCTTTCCATTAATTGAAGATCATTAGCAAGATGAAATTTTGATTCTGATTTTTAACTCATTTTGTAGGAAATTATATGATTGAGCCAACAATTCAGCTAGAATTGCAATTATTGTCAATCTCGATATGGCCCATCTTGATCCAGGTTAGTCGGATGGGTAGATAATGATTGATTCGGCAAAACCTTGACAAGTACCATTTTTCTCCCTCGATTACCAACAAACAAGACCTTAAGAATTATATGACCTAGAATCACATTACATGACAATAGATAGGTGTTCTCAATTTACGAATATCCATCAAGCATCTTTCCACTTATCACCTTCACCTCCTAAAATTAGGCATGTCTCAAAAGCCAGTCTTCCTCTAGATTGCACCACCTCTTGTACTCATGCAATTATTTATAGTTTGCTGATGATGATGTTAGCAGGCAATTGCCCCTGCTGACACCTATTGCTTGTCGATACCACATTATCCCTGTAGATGAATCATCATTAACAAGTAACAATAAACTGATCTCTCCTGTATAAACCTAGTTCCTCTTTTTTTTCGTACTTCGTACTTCATAGTATCTCTTTCGACCTAGGTGTGATATCAACCTTCTTTTTCCTAATTTCTTTTTTTTTACTATAAATATCATCTCCAGCCTCATATTACTTTTCAAATTTTCACTTTGAAATAATATCATGATGAAGTGTTAATTCAAACTACAACTAACAGAGTGATACTATCTTAACAAATCTTTCTTTCCCAAAAGACATCTGCAAGAAATGCCAATATTCCAAATAGATCAGATAATCATGTAGTTCACATAAATGGAAACAAGAAACACAATAATTAATTGCAATGAACTGAAAAATAAATTGTCTAATACAGAAAAGATATCTTTTCTAAACAGACTGGCTCAACAAATTTAGAAGGTACTAGTAGTGTTGATCATAATATATGTATTACCAGAACCTCAATCAGTGAAGTAGGATGTTCATGGTCAAATAAATAAACAAGTCAGATTCTCATTGGCAATAGAAGATATTCAAATTATTCGCAACATAAATATTTCCATGAAATATAGGAGCCTAAGATGCAGCATGGTTGAGGTTGGTTCTGGGTATTTAGCAAAAGGAATCTGTAGTTAAAGAGAATAAGCTATGTTCTTTATACTCAGACAAACCTGTAACGAAAGAACACCCCAGTCCTGTAAGATCTTTCCAAGCTTGCGACGTTGCCATGCAATGTTTGTGCAAAGTATTTTAAGCAAACTGACAATCAACTGTATGTTTGCAAAGAATAGCAATCAAATTAAATGACCATAGATTTGTAAGGGCTTTTTAATAGATAATTCACAACACGAACATGACTTGAGGTAAATTCAATTCTCACCTGACCAAGTTGCACTATGAATTCATTTTTCTGAAATTCTTTGTCCGCTGTAAGTTCTGGTAGTGCTAAGGCCCTTGATATTACATCATGAAAGGAATCCTTTCCGCAAAGCTTCCCATCTTGGACCAATAAAATCTGGAAGAAGTTCAGAACGAGAAGGAAAAGATAAATCATAAGGAAAAAAGGAAGACAGTATTACTTTATTACCAAGGTAAAAGTAAATCGACTTACAACAAAGCAAATAAGTATAAACAAGAAAATGAAGCACAATACTAAATTATTTCTCAAAAATTAAAGTAACAATAAACAGGCAAAGCAAAGGACTGATAGCAAGCAGATTATCTATGCTGTTGAACCCTTCTGTTACATCATGTAAGGCAATGTGAAGATACTGTTTTATAGAGAAAATTATCCACACACACACACACGATTTTCACAGGCTTATTAATGAGTATAAGACAGCAGTTTTACCAGCAAGTTAGGGACTGAAGTTTGAGAGAAATCATTTGCATTGGCTAAAGGGAAAAAAGACCACAGATTTAAGTAACTGTTGCATCAAAGAGAAAGATAAAGGGTTCTCCTAAAAGATAATAACCCAGGTAGCATCAGCAGTTGGTACATTAATTTCTATAGCCATCAAAAGGAAATGAAATGGATTTTTCTCTGAAGTTACTGTTATGATGACACTCATATTTAGGGTTAAACATACTCAAGCTTGATCAGAGATTCAGAGCTTCTTTAAAAAAGCCTAATGTATCTTTTGTCACATGTTGGGCCACTAAATGAGCTTGTCACAAATATCGAGTCTAATAATTGTTTCAATTTAATATGATCTACATAATTTATAAGAAGACTTCAAGGGGCAAGCCACTGAACTTATGGCTCAGCTCTTGCCATAATATAAGCCTAATGCATCACCTTAAGCCTTGATCTTTCCCAAAGGTCATATATTACATCAACGCATACATAGATGAGCTGCATCAAAACAAACTGATAACAATCATCACATTATATTAAAATCCAAGAAACACCTGCAGATGAGTCCTAGCAACCAGATCAGGTTGCAGTTTTTGGAACTGGACAACATAGTGTAGCACATCTTCAAGCACTGGCTCCATGTTGAATGAACATACAAAATCCAAATCATGTAAAAGCTTTTGAAAATATCCCACAGCCTGGAAAATCAGATTGAAGGATTAAACTTGTAAAAATACAAAAAACAATAACTTCAAATATACCTTTAAGTCTTAATAAACAGGTTTTTGGACTTGAATGGAATGACAGAAACATGAACTTTCATAGGGTGTTAGAATTCGCACTTTTTTCCAGCTCAGAATATGAGTTGCACGTGGTGGACCTGGAGCAGAGAGTGTGCTATTTAAGCTAGCATCAAAGCCAATGGGCTTGCAGCCCGAGGCAGTGGTGCTACTTTCAATGTCATCTTGGAAAGATCCATATGGCAAGGATCTGAGGAATTCAAGTGACTTAGACATGTAAGATAACTCAGACAAGCATAATGCCACATGTTTCCGAGCCAACTCCAATCCTTTTCCATGGGGTTTCCTCATGCACATGAAAACATGGAAATAGTGCTGAAAAAGGTTATGTAAATTAGTAACAGAGTCCAACAGGTAGATAAAGAATGTATAACATTGCAGCAAATTAGAAATGCATAAAAATATAAATTAATAGCACTAGAAATCAAGGTTTGCCATACCATGACATATTGCCCGGCATAGGCGGTATGTACTGGTCTGATAGGAGACCTGTATGGGTGGTATATGCTAATTTGTCGATATACTCCATCATATCATGTGTTGGAACAATGGTACGATTTGATACATACAATATCGATAGTCGATTGATATATCGGTACGGACCGGCAAGGCGAACTATGCTAGAAATAATGAGTTGATCAAAGATTACATCATGTACAAAGAAAATGCTCTCCACAAACAAAGAGAAACATAGCATACCAAGAGTTCAAAACACCACAAATTACTAGAACTTCAGACCAAACTAATCTCCTCCCCACATGATAGGGACCCTACTGACCTCTTCAAGATCAGAAACCAGTGAAAACAATTCTAGCATAATTCATGGCTTTTGTGGAATTTTTTTGCTCTGTTACCATTTTTTCCTTTAGTAAAATTTTACCCTATATTTACGGCTTTTGTGATATGCTGCAAGAAACACCACAAAACACATATGATTACCCAATTCAAGTCCAGAGGGTGAAATATAACATGGTAGCAAAATGTTTGGTTCAACAGATTAGGACAATGTTCTAATTTACAAATCGGATTCAAGGGGATAATTAAGAAAACACTACAGCAAAAGAAAACTTGTTACCCATGAGAAATAACTACATGTAAGGCTATTCCCTTTAGCAACATAGGGGAATAATATACTATCACATAAAACAACAAGGTCACCATTACGTCTCACAATAAATAACCTTGGATTTCTTAACTAGATTGAGTGACACAAACCTTGGACTTCTTACATATATAAAGGAGAGACAGACCTTAGACTTGCAACTAAAGGTGTGTATTCATGGTCATATATATGCTTCTATGATCCATGTTATGCTAGATATATTCCAGACTCGTACTTCTGGATCATGATATCCATATCAAAACTATCATCTGTAACCCATATATCTGACAATATACAATGGCTAAAATATCAGCCCATACCTATGGAACAGATACTTAATTATCAGATTGTGTTAGTTTCTTTTGAATTACTTCTACAAGCTAAAATAGAAAATGTGCTTAAAATAGGTTAATTAAATGAACTCCATATATATGGTAATAAAGACATGTAGCAAATTAAACAGGGAATCTCAACTGGATAGAACAGTTATAAGCTGCTTCTTTCACCTAATCATGATAGCTGGATGACACATACTATCATCAACAGATATAATAAATTCAAAAGCAACTTAAATCAAAGTTGATTTTCACATAGATTAAACAAGAAAGACTAAAGCATTTAAATACTTAATCCAATCAAGTAATTAACTCAATTACAATTCAGGAAACATGGGCTAAGACCTTACGAAAACGTAAGCGGCATAAAAGAGCTCTGCAATAACCCTCTTCCAAATCAGGATTTCTCTGTAGAGGCTCAATATCTACAATAAACAAAATCAGCATTAGGCCATGCAAGTTCAGTGCATCTACCATTGTAACTGTTACCAAAGAACTAAACAGATGAATTTAGCAAATTGAGAAATTTACTTCGCATTTTGCAAGTTCACCAGAACTAATATGCACAAACATATGCATAATGCCTTACCTTTTACTCTTTTTTCATGTACTAATTTTAGCATTTTCTCCCCAGTTCACATATTTGTAGTTAATATCTTTTAATTTTCTCATTTACTATCATAAACAGATTAATTTATCCACTAAACAAATTACAAGTTAGACCCTACGCCTAAAATGTTCGAACTTGTATTGCACCATTCTACAGACCAAGGAATTCAATTTTATACCAGTCCAGGCTCAGACTATTACAGGTTTGGTACAAACTGGTGCAATACATTGGAATGCTGGTACGCATCATAGTACAGAAAAAGGCCAAAGAACAAAAAGAACTATTAAGGATTCTGTCATTTTTCTTGGCAAATACAATCAATATTGATAATAATAAAATGATTTCAATGTAGATAAAAATAAATACTAAATCAAAACATATCTCAGATAAGGACCATAACCCGTATATAAAGAATATACGTACATAGAAAAGAGCAAGACGAGATGCAAGACTAAAACATAAACCTACTTCTACCACCAAAATTGTCAATGTGAGTCCATGGCAGGTGGACCGGGGCCCTCATACTGTGGATCAATATGGTAAGTCCACCAGGACCAATGCATGAAACTGCTCCCAGGGTGCATGTGATACCCATAAACAGTGTTAGAAGGCAATAATATGGTAGTAGTCATCTCATCATCATGAACCACCCGCATGCTAGATCCATTTAAATCCAGTCTGAATCCATACAAATTTAGAATAGATCTAGATCCAGAATAGATCAAGGATCAAAGCTAGATCCACTCATATATAGGCTAGATCTGACCAAGAATCTAGATTCGAGTATCAAGCCATGATCCTCATGGATCTAGCTTAAATATAAAAGAATCAAGGATTATATTTGTAAATCAAACCCTACATGAGGTCTAAATAGAAGAGATCTAGGCTAAGCTTGGAAGAGAAAGCATAAATCCTAAAACGGTGTATAAAATTATCTTAGATGTTCATGTACGATTTTAGAAGCAAGTTGAGAGATCTAAGAGAAATTCAAGAGAGAATAAGAGTGGGTAAGAGAGGGTGTGTGAAAGAGAGAATAAAGAAGAGGAAAGGAACATGATAAAGGTGGTCTCTTTGGCTGAGGTCACCACCAGGTGGGGTTACTGCCCTATAGTAAACCTAAACCACTTAAATGGCTTCACCTATGTCTCAACCTCCAATCAGATTGACGAGTACCATCTGGACCAGTACAAGAAAGAGAGAAGATAAAGGTGGCCTGTTTGGCTGGGGCCACAACTGGGTGGGTGGGGTTACCCTGTATCAGATGTAAACTGCCCAATTTGTGGGTAGGGTTACCCTGTATCGGACCTAAACCCACCAATTGGGCTTAATCCATGTCCCAACTGCAGGTCAGATCAGTAAATACCACCAACGCCTGTGCATTCGACATCACAAAATTAGTGCCATCTCTTGGCTTTAGCTATTTGTGTTTTCTTTTACTTTCATCCTCTTGCAAATATGTCACTAAATTAATGAAATGAATATGTAGTCTACAGTTTTGAGTGAAAAGATTAAAACAGTCCGATACTATATGATTACGATTACAAGAGTTGATATGTTCATCTAGGATATAGACAATAAAGCATGCCAACGATTCCATCTTGTGGGCTAACAGCATATTGACATCAAGTGCTACTATTTGCCATGCTTGTGAGTTGTGCCTACATGTCAATCGTGGGCATCATATGCATACATGGCAATGACATGACATAGAGCCATGTCATAGTTTTGCGAATGTTAGTGTAGCTTGGTAAAAACAGCACAAGTACAAAAATAGATGTCATGACAAGAAATTAGACAAGACAATAAAGTTTAAGTAAAACACCACATGTCAATGAGAAGAAGATAAAACATGAATGGGTCGTTCGACTACCTTCTAATGATTTCTTTCTAGATGATTGGGCCCTGCAAGCTCGAAGCTGGCGAGAAATTGTTTCTTCGACTGAATTTAGAATTGATAAGCATTTTTCATCACCTTCTCCTTTCAAAGGCAATGCATAAGCCATTGCGAAAAGGTCTTCTTCCTATCAATCAAGCATTTAAAATAAATTTTTTTTCAAAACATTGATGCCTGTAAAGGAAAAAATAGATTCATATAACAAGTAATTTATAAAATTAAAGCAAATTTTTATTATTAATTGATCTAGATGTCGAATAAAGTCCATATCTATAGTTCTAAATCCAGAAAGAAGGAACCAGAAGGAAGACAAACTTAATCAGAAATGAGGAACGAGGTTAAGCACCAGTACATGAAAAACTAATTTGGAACTTCATGACATCTTTAAAATGTGTCAGCCAATAAAAAATAAATATAGGTGTGCTTCCCTTTCTGTGTCCAAATGGGCCTCAAATTAGTGCATACAGAGGAAATTTTCAGGGTAAACTACCAAAACATTCTCCTTGATACATTGAAGGTACCCATTACTGTCTGTGGTTTATGTTGTTCTAACATTATAAGTCTCTACCCTTAGGTCAGATGATCCATTTACCTCCCTGACCGAAATTCTCTCACCTTTGTTGTTGCAGCTCTTAAAATACAAAGTAAAAATATTAAGCAAAATATTTTATTTTATCTAAATGGAGATCAATAATCTTTTAGACTCCATTGTCAAAAAGATGTAGAACAGGTTCATAGTTCATCAGACTCGATGACTGAAGTGGTGCAAGACAAACTGCAAAGAGCTTGTACATACTTTGCTCTGCTTATTGAATTTCAGCTTTAGCAATTGCACTAGAGAGGTTACATCAAGATTTATCACTGAAAAATTGACCAACATAACTGGTCCAATGGTCAAAATCCATTTAGAAGATATATATGTCAAGGGCAAAGTTGTCCTTGCACATCCTTTGCAGAGCATGGTAGTCAAACACAACTTTAGTCACACAAGTACTGTAAAAGCTGAAATAAAATATTCTTCTCAAAACAATACTCCTTTAGAAGACCCAGTATATTACCTTTCAAACAAAAGCTCAGATAAAAAATCTTATGACCCACTATATTCATAATTGATAGGGCTCCCAGATGACAGGAAGAGTCAAAATTCCCAAGAACTTCCTTTAACATACATGAAGGATATGATAGTCATTTTACTCAAGGAAGTCCATTTTTCTTGAACCAGTATGAAATTGATGGTATACCTATCCGAGCATTGATCGGTATACAGATTGCATCCCATTTCAGACGGTCTGGTCCAACCAAATATAAAAACAAAAAAAAGCCTTAAAACATCAATTAGGGCCCATGAATGTGAGCCCTCTTCTCATGAGAAGCATGGAACCAATGCCACCACCATTGTCACTTCCATTTGCCACAAATGTTGTCTGCCACTTCCTACCTCCCCATACGCTTCCTCCTCCCTCTCTGATACAAATAGCGTTGGCGATGGTTTTTATTCTATAAAAAAAACATGGGCAATATGGACCTTCATTTATTCATATTATGTTTGTGCCTGGAATTGATATTCTAGCATCTGGTGTGCAAAATCCTAGAGTGAATGAGAAATTCTTGAAGTCTTCTTGTTGTTGAAGGAAAATGTACATACTTCACCTAAATAAAATTATGATAATGGTTTTAACATATCAAGACAAAACAAAATGTTCAGCCTAATTATGCGCCAATGAAGGCTCATTTCCTTCCTGATTCATACAATAAGACTAGAGGATTCTTAGAAATTTTTTAG